GCAGGTGAAATATATTTGGACCAGCGGTCGCTTGTGCGATTTCAAGGGCTGTGACCGTCCCGATCTGCAGCCCACAAACATCAATGGTTGGTTCTGGACCGCCACGCTGCAGAAGTTGGCTCCGACCACAGAGCGCAACCAGGGCGACTGGTCGCCCACCGGCGGCATTGGCTTGCCCCAGCCCGACAACCGTGAATTCAAACAGAACGGCGCACCCGAAAACTGTTTAGCCTTGTTGAATCAATTCTACAACGACGGTGTCAACTGGCATGATGTGGCCTGCCACCACAAGAAGTCCTTCGTCTGCGAGGAGAACGATGCTCTGCTGAAGTATGTGCGCTATACGAATCCCAATCTGCGCATCTAAAACGCTCAAGCTCAGGCGGAAGTAGCAGCTGGAATGACGTGTGGAGTTGGAGCCTCGAGCAGCGACTTCAAATAAACCAAAAATGATATTTTTATGTAGCTACCACATATGTCCATATGTATTTGCATGCATATATACATGCATACGTATGTGTATGCAAATGTATGTGCTGCTGTGCGAAATGATTGTTCGCTTTGGTGCTGCTCATGTACTCTTTGTTAGTTACTCTTTGAGTGTCTTTTAAACTTCCGGCTATCCTAAATGTCTTACGTATTTGTTGTAACATCTTTTCCAGTTTCTGCGCTCTTTCTCATCAATTAGTTTAATTATTAACTTTGTATTAATTTATGATTTTCTTTAATTATAATATAACATTCAAAACGACGAGTAAAACTCACAATGTCTTTAAATGGTAATAATTTAATAGTGATTTTGAAAAGAAAGTCAGACCAAGCAGTTAGCGTTACTGCTTTACAAATGTCTTATGATATTAAATTATGTTCTGGAATTATTTGGAGTTCAATTTACTATTATATAGATAAGGCTTAAATTATTAAATTTTAGTTTAGGTAAGTAAAAAGTTTTAAGAATACAATATAAACAAGTGTAATTGGGTTTGTGTGTAAGAGCATTTTATATATTTTGAAAAAGTTGCGCCATTACTTGGTCCTATATCGATAAGTTTTGATTGATTTAGATTGTCAGCTTGCCAGTATATTTTAGTTTTTTTATTAACCTTAAAAAACAATAACTCAACGAACTATTTCGATGTAGGTGCGATTGCTTAACAGATTCTGGCTGGGCAGCTTATGTTCAGCAAGGAGAGTGCAATCCGGGACTCTATTGCGTACGTTGTTGTGGTTGTAAAACAGAGTCCGTTGATCGCGACTCGGATCCCCGAACGTAATGAGATGCGGCCGTTGTACTTGGATTTCAGTGCCGTTATCCACCTGGATCCTTGCGGACCCGTCGTTAAGAATGATGATTCCATCATCTACGTGGGTGATTATTTCCAGGTTGCTCGGCTGGATTTCACAGGTTGCTGCCGTGCCACCTGCATGGAGCTCTTTGGCACATGAACTCTCTAATGCCAGACGACCAAAAGGTGGCTCCAGGTGAAGCGGTTGCAAACTCTGCAGTGTGTGGGTTTTTCCATCGCATTCGGCTATGACGTTGTCAGGCAATCGCAATATGAAATTCTTGTGAATGACGGATAAATCGTAATTTTTCTGCAAGCTTGTTTAATATGATTTAAATCCAAAAAAAAAAAAAATTTTTTTTTTTTTTTTTTTTTTTTTGTTTTTTTTTTTTACGTTGGCGCCAATTAATATGTTGCTGGTCCAGCGATGAACTAGGCGCAGGTCCAGCGTTGATCGGGTATTTATAGTCTTAATCAATAAGTTGCTGGTCCAGCTATGAGCTAGGCGTCGGTGGCAGGTCCAGCGTTGATCGGGTAATTATAATCTTCTTATGATGATTATGTTGGAGGGTTTGACTTCACCCCCTTTTCTATTAACTGGCCTTGTGGCTCAGCAATGATCAGAAATATAACAATTTGATTACGGCGGTGTGCCGGAGTAGTGCGGGTTTATTCTTCAAACTTCAATGCAAAACTGATTTTTAGCTACATAGAATATTTCACTTAAGCTAAGCCAAAACTCGCATCACACCACAATGTCATGGTCGGCAAGCCGACTCAGCAATCTTAGGCAATAACGGAAACTCTTGCAGTAAACAAAAGTATCTGGTTACCGCCGCTGACCATTGCAGTTATAGCGCGCTGATACAAAGTATGCAGTGTCGCAATTGCGAGGGCTGTTTCTTAACTTACGAAACACGCGATAGCGAGGGTTGGTTATAAACTTATGAAATACCCTATATTAAATGTTATGTGTTAACTTACATGCATACGTATGTGTATGCAAATGTATGTGCTGCTGTGCGAAATGATTGTTCGCTTTGGTGCTGCTCATGTACTCTTTGTTAGTTACTCTTTGAGTGTCTTTTAAACTTCCGGCTATCCTAAATGTCTTACGTATTTGTTGTAACATCTTTTCCAGTTTCTGCGCTCTTTCTCATCAATTAGTTTAATTATTAACTTTGTATTAATTTATGATTTTCTTTAATTATAATATAACATTCAAAACGACGAGTAAAACTCACAATGTCTTTAAATGGTAATAATTTAATAGTGATTTTGAAAAGAAAGTCAGACCAAGCAGTTAGCGTTACTGCTTTACAAATGTCTTATGATATTAAATTATGTTCTGGAATTATTTGGAGTTCAATTTACTATTATATAGATAAGGCTTAAATTATTAAATTTTAGTTTAGGTAAGTAAAAAGTTTTAAGAATACAATATAAACAAGTGTAATTGGGTTTGTGTGTAAGAGCATTTTATATATTTTGAAAAAGTTGCGCCATTACTTGGTCCTATATCGATAAGTTTTGATTGATTTAGATTGTCAGCTTGCCAGTATATTTTAGTTTTTTTATTAACCTTAAAAAACAATAACTCAACGAACTATTTCGATGTAGGTGCGATTGCTTAACAGATTTTCTATCGATTACACCCAACGATATATTTGGGTATTTAGAAAATACTTTTGACATCGATACATTGTACTATCGATGTGAATTGCACGCATAGCGTTGATGTTTATTGAATTTGCTGGTTGAATATGGATATTGGCGAACTGTTGGCGTTTAAGGTAAGTACGTGCAATAAGAGGATACATGATGCACTAACGAGTCCCTTATGCTTGTAAATAACATCAGCCCGAGCAGACACCAAAGCGACCACATGAGGACGACGATGATTTCGCGCTGCCCGAGCCGGCGCCTAACGATATTGGAAAACGGGGCGGCGGCGGCGATGAAAAGGCCAAGCGAATGCGTCGCATTGCGGATGCCAAGGAAACAGCCAACTACAAAAAGCTACATGAGGGAAATTCGGGCTCAGGGTCAGCCGGCAGTACATTTGAATTTGATCCTGAGTTGACGGAGGAGGAACGCCTCAACATACTGAAATATGTGGAGAACGAAGATGCAGAAGGCGATGTACTGGACGAGCAAGGCCTTAAAAAGTTAATACTCGTGTTTGAAAAGCGTAACCTGAAGAACCAAGAAATGCGTATAAAGTTTTCTGACAATCCAGAGAAATTCATGGAGTCTGAACTTGATTTGCACACAGTCATACAGGAGCTGAAAGCAGTGGCAACAGTACCAGATCTTTATCCCTTGTTGGTAGAGCTACACGGCCTGCACAGTCTCCTAGAGCTGCTGGCACATCAGAACACAGACATTGCCGTTGCTGTTGTCGATCTGCTGCAAGAAGTCACAGACGTCGATATTCTGGGCGAGAGCAGTGATGGAGCAGAGTCATTAATTGATGCCTTACGAAAGGAACAAATCTGTGCATTGTTAGTTCAGAATCTGGAACGCCTTAACGAGCAGGTGAAAGAGGAATCTGATGGCGTACACAATACGCTGGCTATTGTAGAGAATTTGACCGAAATTGATGGCGAGTTTGTGCGCGAGGCGGCCACACAGGGTCTGCTGGCCTGGATACTTAAGCGACTCAAGGGCAAGTCGCCCTTTGATCCGAACAAATTATACTGCAGCGAGATATTGTCCATACTAATACAAACGGAAAACGAGAATCGTCTCCTGCTTGGTACACTGGACGGTGTCGATGTTCTGCTGCAGCAGCTAGCTATATACAAACGTCACGATCCCGCCAGCAATGAGGAACAGGAGTATATGTCGAATCTGTTCAATTGCCTGTGCTCAGCGCTGATGGCACGAGAAAATCGTGATCGTTTCCTGAATGGTGAGGGTTTGCAGCTAATGAATCTGATGCTGCGCGAAAAGAAGATGTCGCGCAATGGCTCACTTAAGGTGCTCGATCATGCCATGGCCGGTCCAGACGGGCGAGAGAACTGCAACAAGTTTGTTGAGATTCTTGGCCTACGCACCATATTTCCGCTGTTTATGAAAACTCCCAAGCGCAACAAACAGCGCTTGCTATCCGTCGACGAGCACGAGGAACATGTTTGCTCTGTGATTGCATCAATGCTGCGCAACTGCAAGGGTACACAGCGCCAACGTATGTTGGCCAAATTCACGGAGAACGATCACGAGAAGGTAGATCGTCTGCTGGAGCTCCATCTCAAGTATTTGGCCAAGGTGGAAGCCATCGACAAAGAAATAGATCAACAACCAAAGGTTAGTGGCTTATTCTAATTATTATTAGCAAGATCAATTTTATTTTGAATCAAGTGGGAAGGCAAAAAGTTAGAATTTTGAATAATTTCATGTTGTGCAAAAGAAAAATTCAATTTATAAATAATATTTTCAGGATGCCGCCATAGATGAAGATGAGGAGGCGGAGAACAACTATATAAAGCGCTTAACTGGAGGTCTGTTCACCCTGCAGCGTATCGACTACATCCTGCTAGAGGTCAGCGCCACCACTGAATCGGTGAAGCAGCGTGTCCTACAAATCTTAAACTTACGAGGTGCCTCCATGAAGACTATTCGAAGCATAATGCGAGGTAAGAAATAATTAATATAATATATATAAATATGTTAAAATCCCAATATCATTGTAGAATATGCTGGTAATTTGGGCGACGGCGACACTGAATGGCGAGAACAGGAGCAGACGCATATACTTTCATTAGTCGATCGATTCTGATGTAACTCTCTCCCTCTACATTGACCAGAGTATATGATAACATTAACTAAATAAAAAAATGTCCGTTCTAATATTTTTCTTACATTTTTAGTTTTAAAATTTAGACAACGCGTGCAGGGCTTCAGAAGTTGAGCGTGTTTTGATTGCATGCTCTCGCCTCAAGCTAATTTTCCATGTTCGTACAGATTATAGTCACATTATGGTTTCGGCTTTGAGTTTGTATGTGATATATTCCTTTCAATCGCTGACTTTTTACTTCTACGTGCTGTGTATGGTAAGCATTTTTTTAGTCTTGCATTGCCAACTACTTGCGCAGAATTCCATCTTGATAGCTTTTAAGTAAAAATTGACTTAAATTGACGATATTCGGTTAAATGTTTTCTAACCTTTTTAAATTAATTTTGACATCGAAATATTAATTGGGTATTTAAGTGACAGAGTGGTTCTGTTTATTTCTTTTTGCATATTTGGCCGCCTTTACCCCCCTCCTTTTCCCTGAAGAAACGTATATTAGTTGATTCAAAATATAAATAAGATAAAAGTTAAGCGATCTACAAATACAAATTATGAGTTAAGATTTTAAACAGCCGAATTACCAAATAAAGTTCTACTGTTTTGTAATATTGCATTTTAATTTAAAGCGAATTAATTTAAATTGCGTAATACACGACTCACTACTTTTTAAGCAGTTCGTAGATAAATAAATGAAATCTGTTTTGCAAAAATCACGTTCAACGTTAGGATCAACAGATCAGCTGATGCTGCTGGATTACTAATATATATTTAACTTTCGTGCAAATATCAATACATTTTTTAACGCTCTGTTTTATAGGTGCAAAAATTGTAGCTCTTAGGATTATTCGAAGTAACATAATATTATGACGTTGGTTGTTGAAAATTCGCAACAATGACGAGACAAGAGCTTATTTTCATCTTATGTGTAATAACGATTTTTGCAAAATTGTTCAATTCTTTTAATTCGATCAATCGAAATTAAATATTACTAGCTACTAAGCGTTGGGTAATAGTAGTAGTTTATAGAAATTGTGTCTAATTTGTTGAGATGTGTTTTTGTGTTCGTGTTGTCGTTCTTGTTTGTGTTCTACGTGGGCTGTATGGTTGACTTAGCCTTGTATTGGAAGGATTTACTTCTGTGCATCAGGAATCTCAAAGTTAACATCCATATTCATTTCACGAGCCAAGGAAACAATTTGTGCCATATGCACAGCCATGTCGGCGGCCTTGTCCAAATCATCTCGGGCCAAGATCTTCAATCCTGAATTACGGATCAATTCACGAGCCTCCTTTACTTTAGTACCCTACAAGCAGACATCAGTTAGTTAGAGCATATAATTGTGTCTTATGTAAACCTGTAGAACTCACCTGCAAGCGCACTACAATAGGTAAGTTAAGGTTCAGATCTTTTGCAGCGGATATAATACCCTCTGCAATAACATCGCAACGCATAATGCCACCGAAAATATTAACCAACAAGCACATGACCTTCTTGTCTGAAGTAATAATCTTGAATGCCGCCTTAACAGCCTCAGCTGTGGCGCCACCGCCAACATCAAGGAAGTTGGCGGGTTCACCACCATACAATTTAATAATGTCCATGGTGGCCATGGCCAAGCCAGCACCGTTAACCATGCAGCCGATGGTGCCATCTAGGGCAATGTAATTCAGATTGTATTTGGCAGCTTCCACCTCTTTGGGATCCTCCTGGGTCCAGTCCCGCATGCTGAATAGCTCCTTTTGACGGAATTCCGCGTTGTCATCAAAACGCAATTTGGCATCCAGGGCAAAGACTACAATTGACAATTGACATTAAACAATTGATTTCAAATTTGATTACGATTTGTATTTAACAATGGATATTTTTCAAAATTGTTTTAGTAAAATTAGTAATTTGGTAGGTTAGATATTATGTAGTGTGATTTCAAGTGACACCACATATATAAAGTTAGTACTTACAGCCTTTATAAGCCAACATCATGCAGCATTATTGAGGTAATCATGATATAGATGAATTATGAGTTAGTCAAGGAGAGATGGCAATGTTTTAGCAGAGTTAGTTAAAAGTGAAAGTTAGGCAAACCAACTACTTACAGCCAGTCATGGCATCTTCAGCATAGGGATTAATCTCAACCAAGAGTGCATCCTTCTGCACAAACAGCTTATAGAGGTTAAGGAGCATTTCGACGTGTTCGCCAGAAGATTCACCGCCTAGACCGACCTTTTCGATGATACGGCAGGCCTGCTCTTTGGTGAGTCCCTTAACAATATCAATGGGCTCATAAAGAATGGCATCGGGATTCTCTTTGGCAACTTCTTCGATATCAACACCACCCTCCTTGGACGCGATTAGTACGGGCCCCTGGTGGCAATGAAAATTAACAATAAATCGGACTTAATGCAAATTTGTGTATGAAGTGATTTTGGAACTTACGTTGAAAGCGCGCTCCATCATGACAGCGAAATAGAATTCACGACGTGGAAACTTTCTCTCGGCAACCATTACCTTCTTACAGATCCGACCAGCTTCGCCGGTTTGCTTTGTGATTAACAGCTGATCGATCATTTTCGAGGCAATTTCCTCTGCTGACTTCGGACTGGACAATAGACAAATATTATTAGTACAAGCTTTGACAAGTTATAATTATTGCACTTACTTGAAAACAACACGAACACCGCCCTTAAGGCCATTCTTAAATGTGCCTTTACCACGTCCGCCAGCAAGAACTTGGGCCTTAAGCACCAGATTATCTGTCTTCAGTTTTTTGGCTATATCATGGGCTTCTTTGCCATTCTTCGCAACAGCGAAACTGAAAAAAAAAAAAAAAAACAAAAATGAATCATCAGCAATCAGAAAGGTTATTGTACCCAAAACATAGCTAATGATGTCTACGTCAACGATGCTTATCAGAGCAATAATTCAAAGTCCATATTGTATAAAAATGAAGTGCGAATATAATCTACATAAGTATTTGTTACCTCAAAGTTTTTTTTTTCAGAAAAGTATATTTTAAAAATATAACTTTTGCCTATTAATTTTTAAATAGATTAAAATATTAAACAAGTCTCAAGAACTCTCATTGCATTAACAGCTATATTAATATTTATTGAGTACCTAATTTAATTTTAATATTTTAAAGTATAAAAACCCAGGTTGTAAAATGTATTTACTAAATTTGACCATATTTTCTTATCAACAATTCATGAGCTTTCGGTTTATACTAGAGTTTGCATTAAATCAAATGCAAATCATAATCTTATTTGATTTTTTATATATGTAAAAATAAATGATTGGAATGCAAAAGGCAAAGTCCGTGAAACAGTTGCCGGAACATTTGTTTGTACTTTGTACCTCATTTTATATTATTTATATATTTTATTTTTGCTTTGCACTTACCGAGGCGTCGGGATGTTATTTTCGTTGAGCAGCGTATATGAGACATGTTCCTGAACATTTAGGTTCCTCATCTGCTGCAGCCCAACTGGAGTGTATTTGACGATCTGCAAGTGAGAGGAAGAATATTACGGTATTAGGTAGAAAGTCACGAGTTTCTGAAAACAAAACGGGTTCATAGCATGACGCATGAAACAAACTTGAAATTATGTCTGTAGATCATAAACAAAATCCAATTTTCGCAAGCAAAGTTTAAGTTGAGGGAGACGCGACATTAACGGCAGTTGTTGATGTTAATCAGATCTAATTCGCATAGATTAAGTTTTTAATTAGTGGGCTCGGCAGCGATAGCAACAGTTGTCAAATATACCCACTGTTCATTGATAAAAACAAATTCATTGTAGATTTGTCGTTCAAGGTCTAATTATTATCTTAAACCGAGGTGACCATTGCGTCACACACATACACACGCAGATTTTCTTACGCATAAAAAAAAAACAAATTGATCGCAAAGACCGTCAGTCAGGTGGCTTTTTGTGCAGCACTCTCACGAGAGCAGTGTTCACCTTGTCAATTTGTTGTTGGATTTTACTGCTCTTTTTTGCAATTATGTAAAAGTACCACGACTAATTGTGCATTTGTCAGCGCATTAGTACACTTACCTTTGCCACTGTTTTGGGGCCTAATGTTTCAACTAAGGTACCCCCTGCACGCGCCAAAATAAAAGCCATTTTTCGTCTAAAATGTATAAAACTAATATAAATTTGTTGCCACTTATTCCAACACAATCAACTACTCACTTCGGTCGCCTTCTAATATGTATTCATTTATTTAACTTGTTATCGATTTTATTTTTAGTATATTTTATACGGGCACACAACTGTAATATATCGTCTTGTCGATAGACAGTTAAGTCGTTACTCGACTGATGCAAATCGAGTAACTTGTTAATGTGAGTATAGGTGATTTTAAATAATTCTATAGCTAACAAAATAATTTGCAGTTTTTGTGTGTAAAGAGTTCTTGTTATAACCGACGTTTTTATTATGCTGCGCTATTAGCGAATACCGTCAAATTCAGTGTCGCCTATCGGATGTATCGATATTAAGCTCGTGATTGTGTTCGTACTGACGCGCGAAATTATCAAATATAAACACAGATATCACTTCATATAGATGGCATACGGCTCAACGCATTAAGCAATTTAGTTTTTATGTACGATAACGTAACTTAATAATATTTTGTATTCACGTTTTGATAATAACGAATAATTGAATTAGATACAACTCGACTAGATGTGGACAAAATATGGATCATCAGATTTGTCAATCCTACTATATGACTTACAATCTACTGTCGCAAATGCCATATCACAGCAATTCCTCGAACTATGCGATTGCGAACTTGAGTGGATATGCAAATTTGACATCAAGTCAAAATGTACAGCATAATGTACAAAAAGAAGGACTTATTATTGAAAACCTACTTGCCCATATGGGTATGCTGAAATATCAATTGAAGTGTGAGCAGGATGCAAGAAGTGAGCAAGCATTTCAGCTGAAGAGAGTTTTACAACAACAGCACAACTCGCTTGAATATAACAAAAAGCTGACTGATATGTTGAAATCTACCATGCATGAGCTTTCTGAGCTCAAATTACAGTTGAAATCTGCAAAATTGGAAGAAACAACACAGCTGAAAGCTGTTTTACAAAATGAAAAGAATTTGATTGCGGCTAACCGAAAGCTGCTTGCTGAGAATGCTATGCTAACGGAGTCACTGAAAGATAACAAAATACAGCTATCCAGTGATAAATTAAAGCCACAACCACAAATTTCAAGGGTAAGAGCACAGATGAATTCACTTTATTATTCATTAATATTTTTTTAGCTGAAAGACAATCTAAGCCGAGCCGATTCTGAACTGCAGCAGTGCCAGGCGCAAGTGAATGCATTAACTGCAATCAACGAAATGCTAATTGCTGGCAATGAAAAACGCGACGAAAGAATTGCAGATTATAAGCGAAAACTGCAAAATTACATCAACCTCAGCCCATCATTGGTCTCTGAAACTGTGTTGGCAGACAATGCCATCGCTCAGATAAGTAGCCCATGCACTGCTCTAGGAGCTGAGAACTGTTTGGGTGGGTGACCAAGGTGATGAATGTTTTTATTCAGAAATATTTATATATTGTTTTTTTTTTTTTGAAGGCACCTGGCTGTGCGTGTCCTGTGGCACCAATGCATCAACTGTTCATAATCAAACTTATGCCGAGTTTCGCCGCCGCTTATGTGAAGTTCATAAGGAATCTATTGACCTGAATCTGTGAAAAGCATTAAAAATGAACCTATCTGGAATACTGTTTAATGAATATTTATTATATATATCTATAATATATATATATATATATATATGTATATCTATATATATAAAATTAGACTTATGCCTAAAAAGCTCTTCATCCAAAGATCTCTACAAAATTTTGATTAATTAATTGTAAACTAAAGTAATTGTGCAGATCCTTAAAGAAAATTTTATTATTAATTAAATATTGTTTGTTGTTAAAGTCTACAACTACACAAATTATAAACTAATTGTTCCCGAGCCAGCCAGAAAATTAAACAGATAATCGAAAGAGCATTAAAACTGTAACTAGTGAATTCCTTATAAATTCCTCTACACTTCGATTACATTTATCAAAACTGAATTAGTTTTGTTTGTTGGGTCGTTCACTGAGAACCTTCTCTATAGATACGTTTATAATCGCGTGATTATATAGATATATGTCTAAACCTGCGTCGGTTGAGCCCGACTGCCAAATTGTTTGTTATTGAATTTTTTATTTTTGTTTACTTTTTATTTATTCTTTTTTTTTGGATTTTACATTGCTTGTTATGGTTGGACATACAAAAAAAAAAGGTTACATCATCACATACATTTAACATACATACAAGAGAATAAATTAGTTTAATAATTGTAGTAATTATACAAATGAGCATAAGTTATTAGCTGAGTTCTCAATATGTTTAAAGTACACTGAAAGAAAGCACGCCGCATTAGCGCGCACTTCGTTTGGCGTGCTTCATATAGAGTGTACGTAATTATTTAAACTTGAAGGACGAAATTACGAAAATTGGGCAAATGCTTCACTTGAATTGGCTTTGACATAAATATGAAATCAACCGCGGTATTGATTCGCTGCCAGCCATCGAGTGAAGCAAATGCATTTTCATGACACCGACAGGGCGCATGGCTCAGATGTATAGATCCCGACCCTGTAGCACAGTGTAGGATCAGTACTAATACATGAGCATGGGCTATGTCAGCCTGATATACAGATAGAATACAATATAAATATATTTATAACATTGCAATGCTTTAGGTTTACATTTTCCATTGAACTCTGTGCGGAAAACACAATGAAAAATGTCGATAGAAAAAGAAATTTTCAGAAAATTTACAAATGCAGCTCGAAATCAAGTTGGTTATATAGCGAATGTTTGGCCAAGCTTTTGGGATAGAGTCAAAAGCAAAGAACCAAGCATTCGATATATAACAAAACAAATTGATTTCAAACCTTACGAACTTGATGATGTTGTGGGAATCACATATAACGAACAAACGTACGAACATACACTAAACACTTAACACATATTTATCACATAGATTTACGAACTAAGACAAAGACTAACACGGAACGAAACGAACATAAAACACATTAAAAACTAACATTCGAAATTTCATTTCTGTTTTAAAAACAAAAAACTGCATGCCGTCGATTGAAATGAATGTAAAACTTGAGCCTGGTGCCAGACCGGCGCTTCCCTTAGCTCAGCTCCTCCGCTCTCCAGCTCTCCAGCTCTCCAGCTCTCCAGCTCTTCAGCTCTTCAATAATACTCCAAATTCTCTTCAATCATCTGCAGCACACGCTGCCGTCCGATTTTGTTCCAGAATACATGTGGCTCGGCTGAGCCCGTCACGCTACGTGGCCCGCTATAAAATGAATATTGCAAATTGATTAGATTTTCAGATTTTATGAGAGGGTTGTTTAACAAATTTCTAGCAGCTCAAAAAACTATTTATATTAATTTTAATAAATTAATAATAATTCATGCTATAAAATTCCTGTTGCAATTTATAAGATTCTAGACGTTGTGCGAGGGTCGTCTAAAAAGTTTCTAGGCTAATAATAAATATACCAAATATATTTCGATTTATGTCTTTGTATCTTTCTTACGTTATAAGATAAATATAGAAAATTTATGAAGTTTTGTGATATTTACGTGGACAGTATCAAGAGAAGTCAACCCGACATAAATTTGATACGGACAAATATTCATTTAAACATAGCTCAAGTTAGATTCACACTTACTTCTGGAAGCAATCGAATCGTACGATGCCATTCTCGTTGATCAGACAGGAATGTATATCAATAACTTTGAGGTGTCGCCCCTCGTTGCGTATAAACTTGTTGAAGCGCGACACCTTGTCGCATGTCTGCTTGTCGTGGCGATAGTTGGCCAGCGGTGCCAGCGTGGTCAGCACAGGTACAAATCTCCGGCTATGCATCTCCTTCACCAGCTGACGGAAATCGTGCTCGATCTGCACTAACGGCCTGCCACGCATTATATCCACGGAGCCGATATTGACGATGATTTGCGTCATCTCCGGCAGCTCAACCAGTCGCAGACGTTGCCTCGCCGCATTGATCGTCTGTCCAGAGATGCAGAGTCCAGACTGCAGCACCTTCTCGTCTATTTATGGGTCGATGCGAAACCAAACACATGAGCACTCAAATATCAATACCAAGGTACAATCCATGTTACACTTACACTTCTTGAAACGGCACTTCAGCTCCATGCGTGCCAGATACAACAAGAAGTCGTCGCCCAACAGTGGAAAGTCCAATAGATATGCATCATAGTCCGAGTTGATGGTGAACATGGAGTCATGTTGCGATGGACATGACAACGTTGTTGGCGTGGGTGTAAAATCAGTTCGCCTCTTGTGTGTATACTCCTCCAGGTGTTTCAACTGCTGAACTGCTTGATGTTGCTGTTGCTGCTGCTGTTGCTGTTGTTGTTGTTGCTGCTGATGCTCTGCCGGCGAAGCTGCCTGTAACTGTGCAGGATTCAGAGTATTCGAGTAGATGTTGTGGTTGTTGTTGCTGTTGCTGTTCTTGAGAGCATTGAGCTGCGGTAGCTGATACTGATTGTTGCTGCAAATGCAAAATGAGTTGAATTAAATCAGATGAATATATAGATATATAAAAGCAATGGGAACTTATCATATTGAATTGGAATGTAACTATGTAACTATGTGTCTATGTTTTATGATTATACAATAATTATCTATTGACAATATATGTGACAGGCAGAAGGAGGCGTGGCAGATTACATGGAGCATATATGTGTTTATAAAGGAAGATCGATATAACAGCTATGCGCAGCATTAAGGGTATATCATAGTCGGGCACTCCCGACCTTTTATGCTATTGGCAAAGTTAATTTTATTTTCTATGGCAAATTTCCAAATGATTATAAGTATTTTTATTAATTTTTATACAATACTATCAGCTATAGCTAAGGTTATTATTTAAGAAATCCCTTTGAATCTTACTTCCACTGAAGTGTGATTATAAATGCAAATTGGACATATACAATTAATTGCATGATCAAAGGATTTTATATATATTATGCCCATTTGGAGTTGCTTTAGTTGCTCCTACAGTTCACTTACAGATGTTTCCAGTTGTCCTGATAGACACCGTTGGGCGCCAATGCAGCAGCCGTGGCCAGGGGCTGCAGCGTGGCCATCTTGACAGCTGGCGGCTTCTCACTCGAGTTGAGATTTGCATTGAAGTTCGACGACATTCGCCGATTGTAATGTGAGCGCCACAGACGTGGCGGCTCCAGTGAGTGCACCATGTTGTTGTTGTGGTTGTTGTTGTAGTTGTTGTTGTTGTTGTTGTTGTTGTTGTAGCTATTTCGACTTTCACGTTGGCGCTGCTGCAATATCATCTCGTGAAGATGGCGGGTCTCCTCAGTGGGCTTGATGTTAAAGATGCGCTTACCGGACTCACAGCATTCGGCCGTGACGTGGGGTATGGTTAGCAGAAAGTCTGTGATGTTGTCGTGCACCGGAAAAGCAGTGCCCGTCAATTGTCGATATTCATCTATATATATTATTAAATTAAATCATATCAAAAGATCTGATAAAAAAGGCAATAAATTTGGCTTATATATCCAAGACAAAAAAGTAAAGAAAATTTCTCTTAGAAATAAATTCTTCAACTGACTTAGTGAGCAAACGAATTTTTTCAGTTTCCACTAGACGCAGTGAAAAATGAGTGGAAAATACGTCCATTTCTAACTTTATAAAAGAAATATGTCCTAAATGGAAAATTCATTACTCCAACAGTTAAGTAACAACAAATAAAATTAGAAATGAACTATGGAGCTTAAGGTAATGTTATTCATAATAATTAATCATATATATTGAAAAAATATATATATAAAATATATGTATAGCTAAGATTTCTGGCTTGGATCGGAACTTACTTTTGATGCTCGATATCGTGATACCATTCTGGGCATTAGCCAGCAGTATGGCGCGTATTTCAGCATCAATATCGGGGTACTCGTCGCGCACCCCCAAATAGGTATTATCCATGATGGTCATGTCGGAGCCGATGGTACTCGATATTAAGGTCGATGAGAAGAGCCTCGCTACAATTTGCAGCTCCTGCTCTGCCGCTTCTGCCTCCTTCGAGCTGATGCGGACGCCAAGTGCCGACTGTGGCTGAGCTGCTGTCCGAGCACTCGCCAAAGCTTGGCGTGCTGTGAAAATCCTCTTGAACTTGCGCAAATAGGTAACTTCCTCGTGCTTAATGGAGCAGTCCGCGTGGACAAAATTGCATTGCCCAGGGCCACGTTGTTGTTTTTGCTGCTGGCGTTGGCGTTGGCGGTGGTGTTGGTGCAGTTTGATCAGCCAGTGCTGAAAACACGTGGTTAGCTTTTTTTTCAATGCCGTCAGGCGCTGGTTGTAAGTGTTCGGCACGCTGTTAAATTCACTTCTGAATGTCGCCATCGCTATGACGAAAATGAGTTCCTCCATTCTCTGCTGCTGCCATGTGCTGCACTCAATTATTCTCACGCTCTCTTTTCAGACATCTTCTTTTTTGGAGACTTTTTCGTTGTGCATGTATTGGTGGCGATCAATGTAATTTGGCAAGTGCGGGAATATATTTACTGTAACTCATGCTTTTGCTGATTTGTCCGTGCTGTAGGGTGCCTCACTAATTGAGTGCAATAAATTAAGTATTTAACTTTTGGCTTTTAGATGTACAAACATGAATGAAGAGTGTGTATGTAATAAATATGGTGTACCGCACTGTTTGATGTTAAATAATAGAGCAGTCATTTTTATATGGGAAAATTACCTACGCATATGTATGTACGTATTTATTTACCTATGCATATGCATGTACACATGTGTTAAATGTAGTACATACATATGTTTGTATGTATTAATCTAAAAGATTTTGCAAGTATGAGAATAGAAAAACTGAATTTGATCAGATTGAGTGCTTTGACTGCATTTAGCATGGGCGTGTCTCAGAATATGAAATTAAATAACATGGAGCCGTGGCATATATTTGACAAAAATACATATGTACATAAACAAGTACATATGTATGTAAGCATGTATTGCATACTGCACTGTTGGTGGCCTGTTTGCCTGTAGTAGGGAGCATCACTACATGAAATAAATTTGGAATATATTTGGTATATACATACATATGTATATACATATGTACGTGTAAGCTTATACCTCAAATTCTCTCCATTCATCTTTCGGCGTGTGCATGTTTTGGAGACTTTTGCGTGCTTTTGTTTGAATCAATCAGTGTGGACATGGAATAACTGTACTTCATCAGCATGCGTGCTTAAACTGTCTATTACTTGAGCTGGGGTGTCTCAACATTTATAATTAAGAATACTTTTTATACTTTTTTTCTATTTATTAATATTCTAGTAAAATAATTTTATAGTTTAAATAAACTTGAATACTACGTTAATAAGAATTTTTATATTTAATTTTAGTCATTTTTTAAGCTCAGAAAAGTTCTTAGAAATTAAATTTTTGCTTGTAAAACAGTTGAGGCACGTAGCTAGGCATGAATTTTTCAACATTTTGGTCGTAAAAACAAAATTACCTGGCAATTAAGTCATAAAAAAGCGGTAAACGGAAAATAGGCGAATATACAACAATTTTGGTCGATCATTTTTATGTTCCGCCAGATAGGCAAATTTTAAGCATTAGGAATATATCTTAAATACTTATTTTTAGTGTATTATCATTATTATTATGTGCGATAAGTCGCTATAATTGAAAGCAATTGCCACCTTTAGGCGTATAAAAAATTTGGATTCAGCTGCTTATGAAATGCGATGAGTTTTCTTCAAAACGCAACGAGATGTTTGGCAGCTGGTTTTTCCAGCTCTTCAAGCAGATAACGTTAAAAACATTAAGCAATTATGCTTTAATAAAAATACCACGTGCAGCGCCAATCTTGAAGTTGACTACCGTATAATAAGATACCCCTCTCTCTCCCTCCCTCTGTCTAACTCCACAGATGATTATCGAATAATTTCACCTGCTTGGCTGTGGAGGATACCAGACAGCTTTGATGGATGGTAGAGACACCCTCTCGGACAGTGGCTCACGAATCAGGAAAGAAAGGAAATACATTGGACGTCAGGGAGAGAAAGATAGAGGGGGGGGGGGGGGGTGGGGTAGCGGGCTCTTGCTTTAAGCCCATCTACCAAATCTCTTAATTGCAAAGGAAGCTGCAGCGACGTGCCAAGCGATAACGAAATGGGCATGGCACAGGAGCTGGACCATTTTCACATGTTTGCTTTTCGACTTCGATTGGTATTTGGCAATGTAATCCCCCTTCAATCTATGTGGCGTAAGGGGAAATTTATGCACTCAATTCGCTTGAGGTGTAAATCAGGAAAATGTTCAAGGAAAGTTTCGTATTGCTCACAAATATTTTGATGGCTGTAAAGTGGATTAGTTGTGCTCGGATTGAGAGGCAGGTGAAAGCTTTCGGAAATAGAGCCTTCTCTGAGGAATATATCCTATACATTTGAATCATACAGAAACATATTTGATATTATTATTCATAGCTATCAAACATGTCAATCCATCATCCATCATCACTTAAGTAAGCAGTCGGTTAGTTAATTAGCTTGACAATGTATGAGTTTTTCAATCATTCATCAAATGAATCAGTCAGTCAATCACCTAATTAGAGCATTCATTCTTGAGACATTCTTAACTAGTAAATCAAGCAGATATTTAGTCATACTATAGCCTAGACGTTTGTCTTAATTTATAAGTCAATTGATCAGTTGGCGAGTCAGGCAATCAATCATTCACTCACAGAGTCAATCATTTGAAAAGCTATCACTTAATCGTTCGGCTAGTCACGTGGGCAGTCAATTAGACTATTAGCTAGTTAGTCAACACGTTATTTAGTTGCTCATCAACCAGTCAAACTGTTATCAAGCAATTAATTACTCGATCGATTGAGTCAATCAATGGATCATTTAGTCAATCACTCAGTTCCTCATTCAATCAGTTTCTTTGTTGCTAAAGACCATCATTCAATCAAACAAGCATCAATGGCTCGCTCAATCAATCAGTCATGGAATCAATCAATTGCTCACTTAGTCGGTCAATCACTTAATTAATCATTCAATCTGTTATTCAGTTGGTCAAGAACATCAGTCAGTCAAAAAATCATCAATCAGTTACTGGGTCAATCAACTGATCAGTTAGTCTGTCAATCACTCAGTTCCTCATTGAATCAGTTGTTAACTTGCTCAAGATCATCAATCAGTCAAAACATCATCCAGCAGATGCCACTCAGCCGCTACGTCATTCAGCTGTTCAAGACCATCAGACAATCAGTCAGACCGTAACTCAGTCAATCAATCAGTTAGTCAATTACTAATTCAGTCAATCTGTCAATCACTACGTTGCTGTTCTGATAGAAGATTTGTTTGGTTGACAGATTTGCGGGAGTGCGTTGTAGCTTTATTCGTTTGCCGCCTCGACGCATGGGCGACACTTGCACGATTCAGCAAATTCGCATAAATTATGCAGCTACCCGACCATAGGGGGCGGCACTCACAAATATCCAAATAGTTGCAATTACTTAACTCAATTTATGCAAACGAACTTTGTTATTGGAATGTCGGAATGTTGGAATGTTGTGGGTGGCCGACACCTGCTGTCGCCTGTTGCGTTCGAAAGTATTTGAAATATTTCGAAAAATTTTAAATTAAATTGATTTCTATCTATTTGTTAACTGGAAAAACAGCACTTTGAAATACGATATTCGAATATATCCGCCAATTCGATATGCTAGAAACGTGCCAAATTTAAAATTTCATTTTCTCAATGGATTTGAACGTGACGATTTAATAGCAGTTTATCTAATAATATTTTTTTTTAGATTATTTGAAAAAATAGCATATTTTGAGTACTCATTTCAAATTATTTTAAATTATTTGTCATTTGTTTTTATTTTCTTTTTATTAAAAATATTATATTTTATTTATTCTCTTTTATACTTATTTTTATTTTAAAAACATTATATTACACATGTTATACATTATTATAAAATACCATGAAATTTAATTTTTTTTTTTATTTTGTGAACTATTATTTTTCTTTATGCCCCAATTAGACTTAAGAGATTTTCTGCTTTCAATTGTTGTTGTGTGGTTCAATCGTCTGTTTCCTTCAGTTATCCTTAGTCGTTTACTTTGCGGCTGCAGCAACATCTGTTACTTAAATACATGTAATTAGAGTTATTTGTGCTCATTGGCCAAGGGATTATTTTTGCTGTAAATTTCCGATAAATTCTTTACCATGTTAAACGCTTCCTGCAATTAATTATGTAGTTGCTACCATATTAACAGTTGTATATACTAAAAATTGTATATTCATAATATATGAATTTGATAGAATTACTCTGTAAACTTGCTTTAACTGTCAAACAAACCATATATAGTTTACGTGATTGCCATACGATATTCGATAGACATGCTGCTTAATAGCGCAAAGACAATTTCTTTGCGTTCCCAAAAGACAGAGAGTGAGAGATGCAAAGCAAATGCAATTACGTTTTGTTTGACTTTGTTGTTTCACACTCGCACGCTCATACACATCGCTACAACACATACTACAACAATACACTGTTATCGCTTGCAATTGCAGCTGCAGGGCAATGCAAGAGAAACAACCACAATTGCAAGCAACGAACAGTGGTTCCATAAACTGAAATGCAATTCAAAATATTAAGTTTTGAAAATTATTACAAGAAAGTATTAAAACATATTAAATATAGGTATATATAAGTTTCTATATAATTTTCCATAATTGTTTTTGTTTTAGTAAATGCATTTAAATATTCAACAATTATTATTATGCTGTAACTTTTTACTTAATTTTATCATATTTAATTATAATTATAAATCAAAAATATTTATCATATATGTATATACTGCTGCCAGTAGAATTTTAAATTTGTCAGCAGAGCTCGAACAATGTTTCACTGTGCATTATTCTCTCCGTATTGTGCGGGCGTTTTGTGCTCACTCTCTCGCTCATTCGTGCTCTCCGAGGTCTGTGTGAGACACTGTGTCGCTGTTTCAAGCTGAGCCGGTTTTTCAGTTACTTTCTGACTTTGTTGAACGAACGTTGTGCGAGCGGAGCAACGAATAAAACGGCGTAAGCGCCAATAAATGGCGCGCGTTTGTGTGTTTTTGCGTTTCGAATAATAACAAACATTATACATAATAATTTACAAATTTCAATAATAATCAAACGAATATGCATGCTAAATAGCAACAACAACACCAACAACAGTGAGTGAGTGTGTGTAAAAGTGTTAAAGTGCAATAAATAAAAGTGCATTGCAAACAACAACAACAAATAAGAAGAATAGAAAAAGGCAAATCAAACAAAACGTCAAAATGACGCGCGAAGAAGAGGAAGAAGTGCGCTTGTTACTGTCGCGTCACCAGGAGCGCA